ATAAGTTATTAATACAAAACTAATATCCACTTTTGAGGTAGTTAAAGACGGAAGCTATGGAAATCTAAAAAATTCTTTCAGATTAAATCTAATAAAATGTACACAAAATGCAGATGTACTAGACGAACATTTGTTAGGACTTGGCATTCTTGTTCTGGACCTGACAGTTGTTTTCTATAGCTCTACTTAAGATGTTGGACACTTCTGACATGCAAGATGGGGTTACAGCTTGGCATACATGGGTAGTTAGAAGGCTTTACTCAAAACTTGATAAAAATAATCTAATTAGGGTATTTATACATCAGTATTTTTAGTTGTAACTTATCTTTTTTGTTCTTTTAAAGTTGACTAAAAGAAACTGAAAAATGGCTTATTGTTATTTTGTGTTTCTTTGACATATGATGATCTGGAAGATGAAAAAATAGGGCTTTTCTACTGCTTCTTTGTTTTACCTTGCAACTTAAGAGCTTTTTTTACCCTAGAAGATTCTTATCTAGTGATTTGGAAAAGTAGTACAGTTATGATATTACAGGAATCATGAGGATAAATGTGGAGCACTTGGACAGAAAGGCATTTTTAATCCCAGTGCTAAAATTTTGGAGAAAGCACATTGAGTCCAACAGTTACACTGAAAAAAATCTTGCAATAACGTAGATGTTCCTTACTTTTGTAAGTTATGAAAATAAAATAAACCAAACAGGAGACTGTTCTGAAAAAACAGATATAATACCAAAAAAAAAGTGAAATTTATAAAAAAAAAATCTTTTACAGATAATTGAAATACTACATGCTTAAATAACCATTATGTGTAATGGAAGGAAAACCTAAAACCATCAGAGCCCTGGAAAAAATGGGGAGAGCCAAAAGGGATGTAGAGGGAAGTAATGTCTGAGTGGTGAATTACAGCTCTCTCCAACATTTCATGACAGATTAGTCAGATCACTTTATCCAGTTACCACTGACTCCTATTCAGCTTTCCTTATAGTCTGTTGGTAACTTGCATATATATATATTGTTTAACTAGAATCTTTTTTTCTAATCACTTGCCTTTTTACATTTTATATTAATTTCAATGCTTTTAAAGACAAATATTTATTTTATTAAAATAAACTTTTCAGATGTGCATATAATCCATGATGCCGTACTAGTACAAAAAATAAAAAACCTGAAAATATTTACGTTATTTTTCTGCAAGCTGTTTTTTTTCAGAACTCCATCAATATTTTCCTTCCCACAAATTAAGAATGTTAAAGGACACTTTCTTATCTCATGGGGAGAATTGTAGAAATGGGAGAATTCATTCTTAAAAGTTTGATCATGATCAAATGAGCATCACTCATAATCATACCTAAAGCTTTATTGGGATTCTTCTGTGCCATCTAGAGTTGCTAAAGAAATCGGACTGCCAAAAGGACTTTTGATCCTCTGAGAAATGTGGAGTATGCATTTTTCCTTTGATATTTAATCAGACGTTTCTCTGACTTGAGCATCTGTCTGCATGTGGATACTAAGCTTCCCCATAAGTTGAATTCAACATCTTCCATGTTCAAAACATGTATTTTTATGGAACTTATTTAAACTGATCTGGGGAAAGGTTTTTTCAAATATTGCTTAAGGTATCAGAACTAATGTTACAAATAAATATGTAGTTTTAAATGTTAGCTAAATTTTAAAGGACATTTCAAAGTTTTTTTTGTTTGCCAATACTTAGTCCAGAATTCAGATTCCCTTGAAATAGTTTATACCCCGAGCACATAAAGCAACCCTGCTTTAGGTGTTTTGAATATCTCTTCTTAATGAAGACCTCTTAACTGCATTAAGTTAAAGGTGTAACACATCTTTCAAATATATTTTTTGAGACCCATTTAAGTTTATACATCTTGACAGCCTTAAAAATGTTTTTCTCCTCTGGGGATTATTTTGTGTGTGTGTATAAAGATTAGTCTTTCCATTTTCCATCATGGTGGAGAGTGGGTGAAAAGATGTGATAAATTTCCAGAGCCATTTGGAGAGCCTCCGAGTAGTTTCCTAAATAATTTTTGTTTCAATTTTCTGATTGCAAGTTGCACAGAATTCATAGAGAAATAATATTTCCATAATCAGAGTTCTGCAGAACAATTTTAATACTTGCTTCTGTTTTATGACAGTTAGAAATCCATACTTGTCCTTCATTTCATGTGCTCAGTTGCTCTATAGTACAATTGTAAATGAAAAACAAAGACTTTTCAAAAATCAAGGCTTGTGGGAATGAATTTTAACATTAGTTCAAATAGTCATTTTGGACTTCATACTACAAGTGGAATGTTTGAAAAGTTTCTAAATTGTTTGTTGCGATTAATTTGTCTCCACAAACTTAGGAGTGATGATGAAATTTTGCTGTTTGTGGTAAGCATGCTACAATTTGGATTGAATGTTGAGTCCTAGTGAAATCCTGAGTAGCTTGAAATATGCTTGATTCATAATGCTTTCCTTCTTTGAGCATTTTAAAAACCTTTTAAAGACAGTTCTGTGATCCCAGATACCTTTCCATTTTACCTTGTGGGTTTAAAGGAGACAGTTGACTATTATTCACCAGCATTTACTTTTGCCATCAGTTTTCAAACTGTAGGTCACATGCTAGAAAATCAACTAACACTTTAAAACCTCAATACATATCAAACATAAATATTTTCATTAGTTTATCATTGAACCACAAAACTTGAACTAATCATTGTTCTCAGAAAACTTTTTAAGAAACTGGAAAATAAGGTAGTTCAGTCGCTGACCCATCTATGAGGAAAATAAAAAATGTAAGTCATGCTTTGTTGCCTCCGCAGCCATAAGAATTTAGATGATCAGGTCCCTCCCCAAACTGTTGCAACTCTGACGAGTCCACACTGTAAAGCCAGATTTGCCATCCTAACGCATGTGTGTGAAGCAAGTGTCCATGCACATTAGTATAGGTTGTGGACCTCTCTTGTCCAGCACCCCTGGGACCTGATTAGTCCCAGATGAGGGATTTTGCCAGACCAGGGTAGGTCATATCTGGCTCCCCTGCTACCAGTTACTCCCCAGCCCTCGACCAGCCTCCTGGCCAACTTCTTTCCACCAGCCTCCCTGCCTTGCCAGTCCCCCCACTTCCTTCCCTGCTATGCCTAGCAGTCCAGCTGCAGCCCAGCTTCCTGTGCGCCAGGCTCCTGGTGCCACCAGGCAGCCCCACTGCGGGGAGCCCAGCCGCCAGCCCTCCACCGGGTCTTGGAACGTATGTAGTCCTGCCGGGTGATGGATGTTGCTGGACCAGGGAATCCCGGATTAGAGGTTCAACCTGTACCAGAACCACTGTCACAAAACACCGTGTTGTAGCCTGTAAGGCAAGTCTAAAATGTTGAAGATCATAATATCCAAAGCCTCCGGACCACTTCAGATCTTGAGATCTTTAACAATTTTCATATTGTTGGGACCAATCATATTGATGGAAGTGGGTAGGAAGTGAATAGAAGACCAGGGAATAGGATTTCTTGAGCCAGGAAAAAAATAACAGTAGTCCAAATGTCAGCTGTTTGGAAAATTTACAAGATAAAAGCAAAATCCTTCTCTTTTCCAGATGTACTAGCAATTTTTGAAGGTTGATGTTCAGCCAGACAGAAGTAGTCTGACAAAGCATTACTTTTTATACTGGGCAGCATGTTCATGGCACGATGATGTCCGTTAGTGTTGGACTGAAGTGGAGATGGACATGTTGAGAGTGTCTGGGTTAGGCTAAAAGGGGTAAAAAACAGGTGATGTCATGCTAGGGGGTCTACTACAGATCGCCTATCAAGGCAGAAGAGGTGGATGAGGCTTTTTTTTTTAAACAACTAACAAAATCATCCAAAGCGCAGGATTTGGTAGTGATGGGGGACTTCAACTATTAAGATATATGTTGGGAAACTAATACAGCGGGGCA